TGTGCCCGAATGATCCGAAGGCCCAAGCCCATCCCGCAAGAGCCTGTGCCTTGCTCTCCCCTCCCCGCTCCACCCCTCGTTTTGGTTTGGGCCAGGCCCAGGATGGGAGGCGGGGCAAGGGACGCAGTGAAGTTCCCCTCCTTTTTGGGGAGATTCCTAGACTCGTCCTCGCGTCCTCGGAGCGCGCTCTTAATGAAAGGGGCTTGGGGCTGTGAAAATGGGCTTTGGGCGCAGGCACCGAGCTGTGGTGGGGGCCGCCGAGTGCAGGCGATGAGGGCTTGGGCCCAGGACTCCCCTCCCCCATTGGTGGCCATGGGCAGTGAGGCTTCCCCTGGATCTCAGCCCCAATCCCGGCGCTTTCCCCTCACAGCCCCCCCAAGAGCCGCTATCTGCACCCCTCGGCAGCCCTGACTGCAGTGTACCCCGCGGAACCCGCCGGTCCGGGAAAACCCGCTGCCGCCGTCATTGCAGTTAGAAAATGCAAGGACTGCTCTATTTTAGACCGAGTATGAATGTGTGGGTGGGAAGAAACAAAAATCAGGTCTGGGAACTAGACAGAGCTGGGGTGAGAGCCAGGTTTCGTCTCTTCCCAGCGGGAGCCGTAGGTGTGAACCTGGCTCTCCCGCCAGCCCATCCGTGAGCTTGAAGCACAGGGTTGCTGGTGTTGACGAAGCCCGGAGGCTCCGAGTGAACATGGGATCCAGGACTCTCCCAACCCGCCCCCTTGGCCTTGCCCTGATGGCCCGCCGGTTTGCAAGATTCAGGCATCACTTTGGACTCGTGTCCTGAGACAACGAAGGAGAGAGGAGTATGCAGTGATCAACCTAGAGAAGCGCCCCAGAAAGGGCCACAGGACCCTAGACAAAAGCAGGACCCCGTGTGGAGAAGACGCCTGCCAAGCAGCACAGGCTTGGCACCGGCCAGGCCCACCCCGCAGAGCCAGGAGGGCGCCAGGTGCCTCCTGTGCTCTGGTCGGGTTGCCTTTCAGTCCTCTCTGGGCTCTCGGGCAGAAGGTGGGTGAGGCCGGGCCTGGCTCAGCAGCAAGGTTTCCTTTTCGTTTCTGGCCTCCACAGAGATGAAATGTCTTCTTTATGTATTTTTTAACCCAGGGTTAGTCATTTAGTGTGTTCTCCCCTTTTGAGGAAGATCCAGTATAACTTTGTATAAAAGTTGTTCCTGTTATTTTACACTAGAGGCCTGGTGCATGAAAATTCATGTACTGGAGTGGGGGGGTCCTCCAGCCCGGCCTGCCCTCCCTCACAGTCCGGGAGCCCTCAGGGGCGGGAGGTGACCTGGCGATCAGGGGAAGGCGACGCCCCATCACACCTCTGCTGCTGCCACTGCCGGCAGCGCAAGCCTCGGCCGGCCCTGGTTACCTGAGCCTCAGCCGGCCCTGGGTGGGTGGGCAGCCACCATCCGAGGCTTGTCTGTGCCTCAGGCCAGCCCTGGGCACCTGGGGGACTGAGAGAACTGGGGGACGCCTGGCCTTGTCGCACTCCTGCCACCCCAGCGGGGCTGAGGGGACTGGGTGCCACCATCTTGTGGCTGTGGGCGCCACCATCTTTGAGTGTGTGGTAGTCAATTAGCATATTCCCTCCTATTGGCTGTGGCACCATCTTGTGGCTGTGGGCACTTCCATCTTTGAGGGCAGGGCAGTCAATTAGCATATTCCCTCCTTATAGTCTGTGGGCACTGCCATCTTTGAGGGCAGGACAGTCAATTAGCATATTCCCTCCTTATTGGCTGTGGGTGCTGCCATCTTTGGCATGGTGAGAGGGTCAATTAGCATATTCTGTCTTTATTAGATAGGATGTGGGAAGTGTTTTTGAAATATTTAATGTTCACTGGAAGAAGCTGCTTGGATGGAGGAGCTTGCAAACTAGGAGTTTGAAGGACACTGTGAGTGGCTGGGGACTAGGCCCAGGTAAATTCTCTAATTAGAAGGAAATTTGGGGGTTTCACAAAATTACAGAAAGTTGGGGAAAGACCATCCACAGGCCCCCTCCCCCCACCTTTTTTTCAATTTCTGTTCTGCAAGAAAACAAAAACACCAAGGAATTTAAGGTAATCATGTTCTGAGAGTTGGGGAACCCTTTTTCTGGCAGGGGCCGTTTGAATATTTATAACATCATTCTTGGGCCTTACAAAATTATCAACAATCAGCCTGCTATGTTTGGTCAAACATTTCACTAACTCACCCCTAATGCCTTGGCAGGGCCAGACCAAATGGTTTCCCGGGCCTTATACTCCTAGTGGGCTGGGCGTTCCCCGCCCCTGCTTTAAAAGTATACCTGTTGGAAGATAGTCAATAACATTGTAATGCCTATGTGTGGTGTCCCACGGGTGCTAGATTTATCAGGCTGATCACTTTGTAATTATATAAATGTCAAATCTCATTGGTTTGCACACCTGAACCTAATATAATATTGTATGACAACTGTAATTGAAAAATAAAAGGTTATTTAAAAAAAAAAGTATAGCTATTGAGGCAATGCCCAGAGATTCTGCTCAGATTGTTCTGGGGTGGAGCTTAGTGGTAGTATTTTTCAAAGCTCTCCAGGTGGTTCTAATGTGCAGCCAGAGCTGTGTGTCACTGTCACAGAGTTAAATCCCTTCTATTGGACTACCAGTGGGCTGGAGAGGTGACAAAAACACCCTTCTAGAAGGAACACACCTTTGAAGTGATCTGAAGAAGAAAAGCCACAATCTACAGGGCTCAGCTAGGCACCTGGAGATCTGGTTGGGGTCCTGACTGCCGGCCATGTTTATGGTGCGGCCTTGGTGAGCTGTACCCTGGCTGTCGCAGGCTGTTTGGGGGCCGAGAAGTCCTGCTCCTTCCAGCAGAGACTTGTCTTCCCTGAAAGCACAGTTAATGTGCAGCCCTGCAGCCTGAGAAATGTTTTCAAACCCGAAACTGATCTGGTCACACTCCTGTTTAAAACTCCCAGTGGCTCCCCAACCTGGATCTCAGGATAAAACCAAAATCTCTAACCTTCAGGGCCTTGCTTGGAGTGGCCCTGACTTGCCCTTCCAGCCTCCTCACATGGGGCCTTCACCCCCTCCTGTCCCCTCCCAGGGTCATAGTCTCACTAACCCTGACCTGAGCAACTCCTGAGAATCTTCATTCTCTACTAAGCCCTGGCTGGTTTGGTTCAGTGGGTTGAGTGTTGGTCTGCGGACTGAAGGACCCCAGATTCGGTCAAGGCACATGCCTGGATTGCAGGCTTGATCCCCAGTGTGGGGCATGCAGAAGGCAGCTAATCAATGATTGTATCTCATCATTGATGTTTCTTTCTTTTTCTTTTTTTTAAATATATTTTATTGATTTTTGTACAGAGAGGAAGGGACAAGGATAGAGAGTTAGAAACATCGATGAGAGAGAAACATCGATCAGCCACCTCCTGCACACCCCCTACTGGGGATGTCCCCGCAACCAAGGTACATGCCCTTGACCAGAATCGAACCTGGGACCCTTCAGTCCACAGGCCGACACTCTATCCACTGAGCCAACCTGGTTAGGGCATCATTGATGTTTCTATGTCTCCCTCTCCCTTCCTCTCTGAAATCAATAAAAAATAAATAAATCTCTACTCAAATATCATGTCCTCACACATGGTCAAGTGTCGCTTTACATGTTTACATAGCATCTGCCCTTGTTGACAGTTGTGCACTTCTACCCTGGTATGTGCGCACACTGGTCGTTTTCCTATTTGTGTGCTTTCCATTCTCCTGCAAACCATATTTCTCAGGCTCCTCTGCCAGCAGGTTCCAGGGAGAATCTAGCTCAGTTCTGTGCTCTGCCAACACTGCCCTGACTTTGTCCCTCTAGCCCCAGGGTGAGATGGCTCCTCCTCTGGCTGATTTCTGCATTGCCTCCCATCCTTTTGGGTTTTCAGCTCTCCCAACACATTCATAATCAGTTCCCTGAGTTAAATCCCTTCTATTGGACTACCTGGCTTGGGTTCTGGTTCCCAGACTGGACCCTAACTGAGATGCTGTTTTATCTGATTAGTGAGTGTCTTATTCATTTGTGAGTAACCAACCAATTGCTTTTTGAAGAAGCATGCACTGCTGAGGTCCTTTTCCCTGCCTGGCTTGTGATGTCTTAGAGTTGAGGTCCTCTGGTCCCAACCAGCTGCTATGCCCAGGTGTGACCACAAAGGAAGGAAACACTCAGCCCTTGTTCCAGTAACTGGCACCACCCAGCATCAAGCCTGCTGGCCCTCCCTTTGCATTCATTTGCTACCTGACACTGCCTGCAATTCTGCTCTGGTAACTCACCCAGTGCTGCTCCCCTACTCAGGAGTGGGTGCTTCCCAGGCTCCGGCCTGCCCTTCCTAATGGCTGAAGCCCTCCTACTTTTGACATCCCTGATGCCCTCTCCTGGATACCTGAGCCCTGCTTCCTATCAGGGACACAATTTCTATGTTTTTATCACCTGTTGGGACACCCCATCACTGCTGCCTGCCTGCCTCATCTGCTCCTGTCTGAATGCAATATGCTTGAACCCAGTACTGACCCTGAACCTAAGACAGTTGCCCAGTATGTGTCTGTGGTAGATTCTGCCCTCACCCCCAGCCCCAGCCCAGTGGGCTCGGCTGACTCACCAATGATGACACAGTGCCTGTCTTGGGATGTGTGTGTGTGTGTGTGTGTGTGTGTGTGTGTGTGTGTGTGTGTGTAAAATAAAACTATGTCCTAAGGAGAGAAGCCAGCCAGCCGTGAGGGACACTTACTTACATGGTGATCTTGCCTGAGGAGGTGGCATTGCTGCTAAAGAAGGTGACCACGATATGGGTGTCCTTGTTTCTTGGCTCCTGCAAGTTAAACTCCACAAGGCTGTGATGCGCTGGGAAACCAAAGTAGAGCAGACAAGTGAGCTAGAGGTTGGTGGGTGCAGTGCCCAAAAAGCCCCCAGGAGAGCACAGCAGTGTGATTAGAAATCTCAGCCCTACCTCTTCGTAGCTGTGTGACCTGGAGCAGATTACCTGTCACTGCAGATCCTCAGCTTCTTCGAGTATAAATTGAGGAAAATAAAATAGATCCCTCACAGGTCTCAATGAGAATGAAATGAGTGACTACATATAAAGTCCATAGACAGTGCCTGTGCCTCAGAAGCATTCAATCCATGTTAGTTTTTATTATTACTTGTAATGCTAGAATGTCCCACTCTACTGTTTGGTGACGTTATCTGGTCGTGTGATTTTAAAAGAACCAAAAAGAGTATCTCTTACACTAAATAATTAAATCGCAAATATAGTAACGCCCCTCCCCAACCCCACCATTCATATACAGAGTGTCGGGGAGCACACTGTGCAGGAGATGACTATTTCCCTCCCTGTGGCAGCGGGTGCCTATGTGGCATCTCCCCCTGCCAGGCAGCATGGTCACTGGGGCTCTCAAGGCTGGTGTCATCGACACGGGCTGTGTGAGGTGCCTGGCTCACGGCAATACCCCTGTCTAAGTCACTGAACCTGCTAGAACCTGCTGTCCCTCTGGCAGGAGATTTTAAAGAGTGCAGCCTCCCTAACACCCCACTATTTTCTTATTAAGAGGTAGGCCCATCTGGCGGCATTTTGTAGTAACTTTGGTCTTGGAACATTTTCACAGACTCCTTTGGTGATTGGGACATAGCTGGAGAAGCCGTCCTTCCCCTTTCCCCTGCCTGTGGTCCCTCCAGGCTCATGGGGTTAGTGACAGGACTCAGGAGAGATGCCAAGATGCCAAGAACTCACCAGAAGAAAAGACAGCACTACATGCTCTCCCCCACCCCGATACACACACCCAAGAAAGTGCCACACCCCTGCCATCTCTCTTTCTCATTTGTTTACTATGGGATGTAGATTGTTACGATGATGGACAAGGTTGAACTGAAGTGGATAATTGTGATGTGAGAAAATAAAAGCTAACTTACATGAGCCTTAGGAATTTAATTATACCACTTCTTTGCCAGAAGTTATCATTGATCAAGAAAGTTTCCTAAGGTTCTGCTTCTCCCTGCTCTACATTATCTGGAAGGCCCAGGAGGACCAGGTCTGCTAACGTTGGGTCAGTGGGAACCAATTTGCACAGGAGTATGACATGAGAAGCAGCACACAGAGCCCTGGATGGTTGATCAAGAGACTGGATACAAGGCCCGGCCCTGCTGCTTACCTGCTGTGTTGCCTTGTCTAAGTCACTGAACCTCTCTGTGCTTCATCTGTAAACAATAACTCCAGCATCACCTCATAGAACACGACGAGAATTAGGTAATAGAGAAAAGGTTCTTCTCTATTACCTCATTTCATCTTATCTAGAGAAGATTGTTCTGCCCTGCTGGTGCATGCCTGGCAGGGGTATAGGGTAATCCCTGTCCTGGTAAGCACTGCTGAGCCCAGCCCAGTACCATGATGGCCTGGGAGTGGGTGAGAACAGGGAGCTGCCAGCTGCCAGCACCACCTGCACTACCAGGTGGAAGACTACACCCCGAGGGCATGGAAGGTCCCAGCTTGAACACTCAGAACAGAAGCCTCAAAGCACAAAGGCAGGGGTAAGGGAGGCCAGGGGATTGTCAAGTGCGGGGGAAAAAAAGGAGAAACATGTAATACTCTTTGTAATAATTTAAGCAATAAAAATATATATTTAAAAAAAAAAAAAAAAAAGCACAAAGGCAAACAGGTTTTCCTGAACAGAGAGGACCATGCTTCTGGGGGCATTGGGAGAAGGTCTCACAACAAATTTAAAACAGAAAAATTATGGCTACATGAATCTGCCTCAGTAGCGACCTTCAAATGCCTGTAATCTCTATGTGCTCCCTGTGCAGACAGGGAGGAGCCAGTTCAGGTGGCCCAGAAGCTGCCTGGGAAATAGAACTGGACGTCTGCTCCCCACAGCACTGCCTCCACCGCTGGACTAAGCATCTTCCTTCAGGCTGACCTCCAAGGGGTGCTGAGGACAGATGAGTAGCTGAGAAATACAGCTGTAAAGAGCAGGTTCTCAGAAGAGGAGCAAAGAAACAAGTTTGGAGGCAGGTGGCATAGGAAGAGTATAGATTTTGGAGTCAGAAGGCCTAGAGTTGATTCCTGACTTTTTTACCCAGCTATGTAGCCTTGGGCAATCACTCAGTCTCTCAGAGCCTCCCTTTCCTCACACCTACCTCTCAGAGTTGGGTTATCAAGGGAGCTGATACATGTGAAAAGCCCACAGTTAACTCTTGTAACCTACTTTGTTCCTAACAGGGAGCCATGAATTCTCTCTGGAATGAAATTGGAAACACCTGCATCTACTTTCGCAAATTGTCTGATTGATAAAGGGAAGGGAATTATTATCGGGTTCTAGTCACTGAGTTACTAACTTTCTGTATACTATTTTATCTGTGTAATTGGTTCTTCAAAGTAGATACAGTACAATTATTGTTCCCACTTTCTACATAAGGATATAGAAGTTCAGAAAGATTAAGTAACTTGCTCCTGGTCACACAGCTGGTGAGTGGAGAAGTTGAGATTCAAATCCTGGTCTGTAAAGACCACAGAGTCTGAACTTTGATCTCCCTATCACACTGCACCAGACCTTCTAGTACCAGTAAGGTATGGCCACAAAGATCCCTCCAGCAGCCAGACACAGTTGATCAGAAAATCAGTTAGAATTAGAATTAGGATGATAAATTTATCATCCTAACCTAGCCTACTTCTGTGCACACAATAAACCAGACGAGATCCCAGGATAAAAACACAAACCAGGAAGTAGAGTCACCCTAGTTAAGATGCAAATCATATAGGGAAAGATGATGTTTCAGCCTACAATGTAATTCATAGATTCTAAGGCTCACTTTTCTCTCACATTTAACATCTTTATAATCACTGGCACCTTAGCTTCAATGAAATGCTAAGGTTAGAAGCAACAGTGGACAGTTGGGATCTATGAATGGGCATCAACTGCAGGAAGGAAGAAGCCGGAAGTACATTCGAATACCACTCTAGAGAGAGCCCACACTGGAGGGGCAGATTTGGGGGTAGCTGAGGTGGGGGACTAGGATCAGTATATAAATAGGAAGATGCTCCCAAGTCCTCATCCTTAGTAGAGTAATGGGTTAAACTGGCTCTGAAAGTTCTGCTTCTAACTGAGACCGGTAGTGGCTGTGCCCCACCCCTCCCATGACATCTTTGCCCCAGTCCTTCACCTCCCACCTTGGCTACCAAGCTGGGCTGGACGCAGCCCAAGCCAGAGCCCTGGACTCTGCTGGACAGCACACTGGCAGACCTGAGCTGTGCATTTTATCCCCCAACTCACCACAGTACGGAGCCCTGGAAGTGGTCAGGAGGTAGACTTTCACTTCCTTGGGAAGTGGCTCTATCTTGACACCACCTTGTTCCACCAGCCCTAGAAGTCAAGAAACAAAGACAGCAGAGTCCTGAGACGGCCATTTCAGAGTCCATGGCATCCAGCCACATATTGATTAATTCATGCACCTATTCATTCTGCAAGCAACCACACTGCATGCTCATTACATGCCATGCCCTATGGTGAGTCCCAGGATACATGCAACTCAGACCAGCTGCAGATAAACACACAAGTAAACAGGAAGTTTAGATCACCTGGCCCATTCTCAGGAGGTATTTCTAAGAAATTTGAAATTATGACTCCAACTTGCAAAACAATCTACATGACAGTTGTTTAATGGCATTTACCTCCTGGGTAGTAGGATCACAGGAAATATTTGAGCTGAATAGTGGTTGACAAGTAGGGAAGGGCATTCTGGGCCGAGAATACAGTTTCAACAAAGGCACAAAGAGTAAGGAAACATACAATGCTCTTGGGAGTACAGTAGTTAGCATCCCCGGGATGTGCCATGTCAGTGAAAGTGTAGTGAGAGATGAGGCTGTCGTGAGAGAAGTGGTTGTTACACCAGCCAGTCTGTCACATCTGAGGGAAATCATGACATATGCCCAACAAGTAGGCAGTAATATTGATTTGCTTTATTGTGGGAAGCTAGCCTTACTTTACCATTTTGTCAAGATGAAATCAATTTCATTCATGTCAGCAATGCCAGGCTGTTGTAGCTCTGAGCCAGGGGTGGGAAGTGGGAGAGAGAGAAAGGGGAAGGAACCATTTACACTCCCCAGAGTTTTTCCTGAAGCCCTTCATTCTGGAAGATAACCCCAGGATGTTTTCAGCAATGATCTGCACAGGTGAGGCAACTCCAGATCCCTCAGCCTTTCCTGAGCCTTCTCCTCAGAATGGCCTGGATCATCCAGGAACGTGCCTGAGCCGGCCAGCAATTAGGCACTCCTCCAGCTGGCATGGCCACCACAGCCTCACACCTTTAAAGTGGGCCATGTGTGCCAATCTTGGGGACTTCCCCCACAGCACCTTGATTTAGGGACTACCAGGAATTCAAGAATGGCTGTACCAACTCAAAAGACCTTTGTCCAGCATCCAGTTTACAAGTGGAGTCAGAGGCTCTGGAATATAGCAATGTTTCTAGAGAGCATCCTTGAGGCCGGTCCTGCAGGGGATGGGCTGTGTGCATGTTAAGGGTGTGTGCAGGGTGATTATGGGATCAGGCAGCAGTACAGAGAGTGAGGGATGGGACACAAGGCCAAATGACATCCTCCAGGTTAAAAGAGGCTGAACACCCCATCGATTAAGTTTTCTTTATCACAGTTGGGTAGATTTCTTGACCATTGATCAGGACTTAGAGCAGTGACAACTAGCAATACTTGGACTTCCCCCAAATTGTCAAAGAAAACAAAGAGGTAGCATTTACCGATCCTTGGACAGGAAAGCAGAAAAGGATTAAAACAATCCAGACAGTGTCCAGCAAGGAAGGCCTTGTAGCTAGCGCAGGGAAAGGCCATCAGAGGACAGAGATTCTCCAGGGCGCTGATGTAGAGGTCCACAGCCCTCATATGATCACAGATCAGATAACTATAGCCTGAACAGGGGAAAGAAACACAACCACATTTTCAATGAGAGGCAAAGGGAAACTCTCTCATGCTTCTTACTATAACTCTATTGAATTTTCTATTCCCATAGGCTATGGATACATAGGATGTCCCCTGAGCCACATTTAAAGAATATGAATAGACATGGTTACTGCATTCTTTCTTTCCCTTTTCATTTTACAAAGATACCTATACTTAATCTATGGGGAAAATTGTTGAATTTGAGACCCATTCTTCTGTGATCATGTTAATTCTCTTTTAGAAAATGAGAGCATACAGACTTGGCAATTCTAATCCCACTTCTCAAAATGGATATCTTGTCTGCACATTTTACTTTCATCATCACTCACACAACCAATTTTTTACAAAAAAAAAATTACAATCTCATTAGACCCAACCCAGTAACAAGACTATGAAAGGAGTCAGTAGCAAGCAGTTCATAGTCAACCTCTGAAGCCAATGTGCTGGGGTTCACCTGGCCAACTGACTAATATGCTCACTTTGCCAAATGTCCCAATTTATCAAAAACTCGGTTTTCTATTGTTATTGTTTACTATTTAAAATTTTGCAGTAATTTATATTGGATGAATTGGCTGGGGCTAAGAGGTCTGTAGTTTGCCAAAATTTCAGGGTTCAGGCATCTTCAAATCTCCTTTCATCTTGGGACACCACCCCTCCAACCCTGAAATCAGCAACCAAGTTTGAGCTGTGTGCTGATTCCCCGCTTCCCCTGCCCCCGGTTAGGATGCTCTATGGCCAACCTCCTTCTAGCTGCAACAGGGAGCTGGGAGAGACAAACTAAATCCTTCTCAAATTATGCTATGAAGAATAAATGAGAAGTGGCCAACTAAATGCCATAGAAATTTTCAAAAGCCATTAAAACCATACTATCTCATCTGATCAAAATTGCCGGAAAATATATAAGTTGGAAAATCAGTAAATTTGATTAGTAGTTATTCAATACAATGGTCAAAATAATCCTTAAAATGAAAATGTCAAAAATTTGGTAAAGCAGGAAGAAACTAAAAAGATAGTCAACAGAAATGAGGATAAAATTCCTATATGAAATGCTGATAGTTTGACTATATTCATAAGAAGAATATAAGAAGACTAAATAACCCTTAATACTTAACTTTTGACAAATTTAATGTTTTTAAAATGCTAAGAATATATTCAATGAATATGTGTATATTCAAAAATAACATTCATAAAAATATACTTAGAAGAGAAGAAATGTATGTTTATTGATGTACTCAAGAAGATTATCTTGAAAAGAGTTTTGGAGGACTGTTAAATTTAATAAGTTTGGGAATATGGTCACTCGGTGAATTGATCCTTTGGCTACCTAGCTTTGGGCATGTTGGTCTACTTCTTCCACAACTATGTCTGTAAAGGTTGTAGCTAGTGTGGACTCTTGCCACAAAGCAGGATCCAAGAAGAATAGGTTATTGCCTTGAGTGATGTCATATCATGGCAGTGCCTAAGAAGTGGGGAGGGCAGTGTATGTATGGGGAAGGCTTTCAATTTTAGTCACTTCTCCTCAGAATTCCTGGGCTCCAAAGACATCCATTCAATAAGTGCTGAGTAAGACATTATGGGACATAGCAAAGGATACTGGAAGGAAGACCTTCCGTGGCCACACTAGCAGACTCAACACAAAGGGTATTGGTGACTTCTGGCCTCTGGGGAAGCCAAACACTCTCTGAGGCTTTCTGACCTGCATGAATGAAGGTGGGACACCCAGGTTGGTCTTGGCCTCCGTTGACAAAGTAGTCCACATGCCCAACAGGAATCCGAATACCCAAGTCTGAAAGGAGGCAGAAGCCCATTACCATCTTACTGCAGGGGCATATTGCCCAGGTCCCACAGCAGAGTCCACTGGCAGCAGAGCCTGAGGTGTGACCTTATGAGCCCACCTACTCTGTGTTCTGAATGAGCACCCGCCTCACTCCTACATGCTATGAGAATGCAGGACTAACCCTTACGTTTCTAAAGAGGGTTTTCTGAAAGGAAACACAAAATAAATTCATAAGATGCTCATATTTGCCTAATGAAAATCAAGAAAACTATCCCTTAACATAAGTTTTAATAAATCAGTAAGTGTTATAAGCTTGGTAAATTTCCTTGTGTAATAGTTTCTATTTTATTTCAAGCAATAGTTCAGATATATATGTTTGGGGCCACATTTGCACATTCTCCCACATATTTTTGTGCTCTCCTGATGGAGCAGAAATATGACCTGGCTATAGAGAGAGGAGTTTGAGAGACTATACACCTCATTTCATCATCATGACCATGTCTGATCCCTCAGACTGGGTCGGATCCAGCTACTAAAGACACAAATTTTCTCCATATCATCTATCATTATTGTAAGCAATTGATTGTGTATTATTTGTTTAATGCCATCTATCCAGGTATTAAGCAATGACCTAGGAGTTATTCTTGATTCCTCCCTTTCTTTCATTCCCTACATTTATCCCATCACCTGTCTGGTCAGCTCAAAATATATTCAAAAATATATTTTGAATCTTTCTACTTCTCTCTGTCTCTACTGCCACCACCCTTGCCACCGTCATCTCTCACCATCACCTCTCAGTCTTACTGCAAACACCCTCTAATGTGCCTCCAGGCTTCTCTTAATGCTCCCCTGCAAGTCCATTCTCTGCATAGTAGCCACAGTAATCTTTTAAGGATATTCAATCACCGCCTATTCTCACTGATCATACAAGAATAATTTAAACTCCTTGCCATGGCCAGCTGGTTCTGCTTCCTCCTCTTCAACCTCACTCAGTGCCTCACTCACTGCACTTTGCCCTGCCCCCACCCATATCCAGGCTTTCATTTGGGCCATCTTCTCTAACTAAATTGGTCTTCCCCCAGCTCTTCTCAGGGTTGGTTCATTCACATCTGCAAAGTCTCACGTCAAATATGTCTTTGGGTAGACTGTCCTCAATAATTCTACTTAAAGTAGACAGTCTGCCCAAGTTACCCTCTAACTCATATCCTTCTTTATCATAATCACAATGTGTAACTACCTTGTCTGTTTATTTGTATGTAAGCTCCACAATAGCAGGGCCTTTACCTGTCTTTTTTCTGCTACATCCTCAATCCAGCAGAATACCTGGCACATGTGAGTACCTAATAAATACTTATTGAAGGGATAAATGAATGAATGTTTGCCCAGTTAACCTGTAACTTCCACATGGGCAGGGCCTAATTTACTGTATGTCTGTTCACTGCAGTGTTCCCAGTATCTATCTGTGAGATGAAGGAAGGAGAGGTTTGAACACCATGATTGCATGGGTTTCATCTAGAATCATCAATCTGTTAGTCTTGGATGCTAAAAGAAGACTTCTGAGCAAAGGGAATGAGACACGGACATCTCTCACTTGAACTGCACACACTTTGGTAGGGACAGATGCTATTTCTTCCTTTACCCATCATGCTGAGCACAGAGCCTGGCACAGATTCATGACATTTGATAGGGAGCTGAAATGAGGAGGAATGCCCACTCCCTTTCTAACTGGTCAGAAGAGCTTAATTTGGTCATAGTGGATTCAGAGTTGGGATTTTTTCCTGGGCCTGTCACTACTGGAGAGGGGACTTTTCACTCTTCACTGGGCTAAAGAACTGGACTCATCCCTTGGGGGCCTGAGAATCTGTCCCAGGAGTAAAATGTTCCATTCCCCCCGGGCCAGGCACAGTCACCCTGAAAAAGTAGCATGACTTTCCCATATGTCAGCCAAACAGCAGTGCCCACCCTGGCATTACATCAGCACAGGGTTAGTGCTGAGTCAAAGAGTGAGACTGGTCCATGATTGAAAAATCTCCGGCCTGCTGCTAGCTAAAAATAAAACCATTCATCTCAGTGCTACGAAACTGAGAGAGCCTGCAGGGTGCTGGGGAATGCCTCACTGTGCAACAGAAGTTCAGCAGGGGAGGGAATCTGCCCATGGCCACCCAGAGACATGGCAGCCCCCTAGCCCTTACCCTGTGCTCATTCCCCCACCCCAGGAGGAACTCCCAGCTCACTGTCGGTGTCTGTGTGGATGGCTTCCACGAAGAGGGCATCTCCAGCATCCAGGCGCTCCTCCAGGCTGGCTCTGGTATACTCTGGTCCAGCAGGGTCCAGGCCTACAAGGACAGACTGATGGTAAAGGCCCCCTTTCCCCTCAACCACAGGAACCCTCCCAGATCCACCACACACCTACCTTGATAGCCCTTTTAGTTCAGTCCCCCAACAAGAACCCAAGAGTGGATAACTAACTCAGAACTCCCATACCTAGGAACCCCTGTTCTGCTGTCTCTAACCTCTTAATGACCCAAGTCTCTGGCTCTACAATAAGCTTAATAACGCCAACCATTTGTTAATGTGAGTGATATTAATCCTCATGGAGTAACAACAATAGTACAATTTTTGAGCAGTCACTATGTGCCAGGCCATCTGCTGAGCAGTTTTACACGCTCTAGTGCCGGGAGGCTGAGTCCAGCGGGTCATAATAAATGCGAAAAGTCCTCAAAAGGCTGGTGGGCTTTGATATTCAGCAGGGCTGAATGTCAGCATTATATTACCCTGCTGCTGGCCAAACAGCTGAGGGCAATTCCCCTAACCCAGCAGTTCTCCACCTGTGGGTCACAACCCCTTTGGGGGTAGAACGACCCTTTCACAGGGGTCGCCTAAGACCATCGGAAAACACATATATAATTACATATTGTTTTTGTGATTAATCACTATGCTTTAATTATGTTCAATTTGTAACAATGAAAATACATCCTGCATATCAGATATTTACATTACAATTCATAACAGTAGCAAAATTAGAGTTATGAAGTAGCAATGAAAATAATTTTATGGTTGGGGGTCACCCCACCATGAGGAACTGTATTAAAGGGTCATGGCATTAGGAAGGTTGAGAACCACTGCCCTAACCTGATAATCCTTTAATGTTTACCAAACCTTACCTTTGATATGTATGTTTGCTTTGCTAAAGGGAAAGATGTGTAAATAAAAAGCCGTGGGTCCGGAGATTTGGAGAGCCACTCCACTAGAGAGCTGGTTTCCACCTGGCTTTCCCCATGCCTTCCAAATTTATATTTCTTGTCTAGTATATTCATTTATGTCACAGCCCCTTCTCCAGATTCTTGAACCCTTGCTGCAAAAAGACTGTGGCACTCTAGTCCTCACAAAAACATAATGAAGGAAATATTACTATCCCCATGTCTTAGTTTGGACCCCTTGCTCTCTCCCTCCCAAAAAGCAGACCCTGAGATAAGAATTCAAAAATGCAAGCAGTGATTTCCAATCAAGATGATAGTATACATAGATGTGGTAGTCACATTCTCCCACAACCACATCAAAATTACAACTAAAATACCAAACAACCATCATTCAGAACTATCTGAAATCTGGCCAAACCAAAGTCCTACAACTAGAGAATTAAAGAAGAAGCCATTTTGAGACTGATAGGAAGGGTGGAGGCGCAGAATGAGCTGTGGAGGTCTGCATGAGGAGCAAGGGATCCCAGCCCCACACAAGAGTCCTCAGCCCAGGGTTCCAGGGCCGGGAAGAGAAGTCCCCATAACTTTAGGCTGTAAAAACCAGCAGGAATTGTAGCCTGGGGGTCAATTCCTCCAGGTGACGCCAACAGCAATCAAGGATCAACTACAGCAGGACTGTGCACACAGCTCACACAGGGGCTCATCTAGAGTGACCAGCTCAGATGACTAGGAAGGCTAGGCCCCACAGGACATCTACTACACAAGGCCACTCTACCAACTCAAGGAGACGTAGCAGCTCTACCTAATACATAGAAATCATCACAGGGAGGCAGCCAAAATGCAGAGGCAAAGAAACACGTCACAAATGAAAGAAAAGAAGAAAGCTCCAGAAAAAGAACTAAATGAAATGGAAGCAAGCAAACTACTAGATACAGAGTTCAAAACATTGGTTATAAGGATGCTCAAGGAACGTAATGAGAACTCCAAAGAACTTAGTGAGAAAATCAAAGACATGAAAAAGGACCAGTCAGAAATGAAAGATACACTAACTGAAATGAAGAATAATTTACAAAGATTCAACAGTAGAGTAGAGGACACCAAGAATCAAATCAAGAATTTGGAATATGAGGAAGCAAAAAACACCCAATCAGAAGAGCAAAAAGAAAAAAAAAAAGAACCCAAAAATATGAAGATAGTATGAGGAGTCTCTGGGATATGGGGATGCCAGAAAGAGAAGAGAAGGAGCAAGGAATTGAAAACCTACTTGAAGAAATAATGACAGAAAAATTCCCCTACCTGATGAAATAAATAGATTTACAAGTCCAGGAAGCACAGAGAGTTCAAAACAAGAGGAACCCAAAGAGGCCCACACCAAGACACATCATAATTAAAATGCCAACGGTTAAAGACAAAGAGAGAATCTTAAAAGCAGTAAGAGAAAAGCAGTTAGTTACCTTCAAGAGAGTACCCATATGACTGTCAGCTTATTTCTCAACAGAAATTTTGCAAATCAGAAGAGAGTGGCAAGATATATTCAAAACAATGAAAAGCAAGACCTACAACCAAGATTACTCTAGTCGGCAAAGCTATCACTTAGAATTGAAAATCAGATAAAGAGCTCCACAGACAGGAAAAAGCTAAAGGAGTTCATCACCACCAAACCAGTATTACATGAAATGTTAAAGAGTCTTCTTGAGGATGAGGAAGAGGAGAAGGAGGAGGAGGAGGAGGAAGTAGTGCTGGAAGCTAATTCCAGCAGGTCATAAATGCAAGAAGTCCTCAAAAGGTTGATGGGCTTCTATATTCAGCAGGCTGAATCATATTACCTGCTGCTGGAATAGCTGAAAGCATTTTCCCAAACCTAAAGATTTGCATATATTATTGCCTGTGCCTGACAGCTGAGGGCAGTTCCCCAACCTGACAATGCCTACTGTATACCAAATCTTACCTTTGATATGTATATCTGCTTTGCTTTAGGGCAATTTGTGTTAATAAAAAGCTAGGGGTCTAGAGATTCAGAGAGCTTGGTTACTAAAGTTAGGTCTCCTCTGGCTCCCCAAAATGCCTTCCAAATTTATATTTCATGTCTAGTTTATTAATTTACTCACAGCCCCTTTTCCAGATTCCTGAACCCTTCTAGATGCAGGGAAACACCCCGGCAAGAAGAAGAAATGTGAACAATAAAATGACAATAAATACATATCTATCAACAGTTGAATCTGAAAATTAAAATGAACTAACAAAGAATCTAATGAACAAAATAAACTGATGAATAAAATAGAACCAGAGGCATGAAAATGTGGAACAGACTAAAGAATCTCAGAGGGAAGAGGGGAGAAGGGATGGGAAGAGATTAACCTAAGAGCTTATATGCATATATACATAACCCATGGACACAGACAATAGGGTGGTGAAGGCCTTGGGTGGGGCAGCATCCAGGTGGAGGGGGAAATGGGGAAGGAATCTGGGGGGATACCTGTGATGCTCTCAACAATAAAAATTTTAAAAATGCAACTGGCTTATTTGAGAGATCACAGAAAGCTAGTGAGGGAGTAGAAAATAGAGTGATAGAAGGAAGGACATTTTTAATGAATGGAGTATCACTTTGGGCAAGTAGTTCTCATCCCACTGGGGCTCCTCTGACAGGCTTGTAGAACATGACTCAGAGTTGTTCCACTGGATGGTAATTTCCACACAACTCTAGCCCCTAATCGATTAACAGTAGCTCCTGAAGCATAAAGAATACTGCACTTTTGCAAGTATTTAGCATACTGTTTAAAGGTGATTTCCACAGTGGACCAAGAAGATATGAGCTATTAACCTAAAAATGAAAGATCTTTCAAAGTGAGAGGCAACAAGCATTTATTTGATATAAAAAAGAGTAGCTATTCAGAACCACTGATTCAGGCAGAAATCTACATAATGTTCTGATTAGGACACAAAGCAAGGGATAGTTACAAGAAAGGGAAGAGGAACCATTACATCACTGGAAGGAAGGCATTTCTATTGATGCAGATAAGCTAACATAACAACACTAATTCTAAACAGTGTTTTTAATTCAGTCCAGTAGTCATCAGCTGGTAGACATGACACCTACTTTCCTTTATCCTTGCCAACAGTTCTTTGGGACACAATGTTGCTTAAGGCCCAATCCAAAGGTTATTTTGCCCTGTTTTAACATTCCAAAGGTTTTAGGCATAAGATGTGCAAGGCAGTTCTTCTGGGATGACAACTCTGACTCCATTTTAAAGTGTCTCCATCCTATATAATAAAAGGCTAATATGCAAATCGACCGAACGGCAGAACAACCGGTTCAATGATGCGCACTGACCACCAGAGGGTAGGCGCTCAATGCAGGAGCTGCCCCTTGATGGTCAGTGCGCTCCCACGGGGGGAGCACCACTCTGCTAGAAGCCAGGCTCACAGCTGGTGAGTGCAGCAGCGGTGGTGGGAGCCTCTTCTGCCTCCACCTCAGCACTAAGGATGTCCGACTGATGGCTTAGGTCCGCTCCTCCCAGGGGGAGCAGGCCTAAGCCATAAGTTGGACATCCCCTGAAGGCTCCCAGACTACGAGAGGGTGCAGGCCGGGCTGAGGGCCCCTCCCCCGCCTCCACCCAGTACACAAATTTCATGCACCGGGCCTCTAGTTTATTATATTTTTGCATCACAGATGTAGAAACTGAGGCTTAGCAAGAACTTCATGGCTTCTTACACTGATATTAGAGCTCATGCAATAACACAATATCACTTTATGCAAAAGAGTCCCAATAAATAAATTTTAGTGGTCATGGATGACTTCATCATAACACCAAAAGGTTTGACACTTCCCTCTGCTTGCCTCAACAAAGAAATTTTCAGGGCATTCTTTTCACTTTTCTCCAAACCTGGGAGGATGGGCAAGGAAGAATGTTACCTGTGATCCATCCCAACTGGCCTTTGTAGAAATGTCCCACCATGCCCCCAACGTGGGCCCCCAGGCTCACACCAATGATGTGGATGGAGGACTCCGGCACACCCAGCACCTACAACAGACATTTACAGTGGGTTGCATTTGGGACCCAGCAGCCCCTGGTCTCACAGGGCCGCACTTTCCCCTGAGGCTTTAGCAGCAGAGGGCCCTGGGCATGACACAGGTGCTCCACATGCTGAGGTCAGGGGTGAGAGGGTTGGGGAGGGCAGAATCCTCATTCCAGTAAGCCCTTGCCCTCTTGCTGGGCGCTGCAGGGGTAATCCCCCTCACTGTCCCTTTGGTGCCTCGTGTGAGTCATGAGCACATTCTCTGTCTGAGAGATGACTGAAGCCAGCCACTGGCTCTCTCTACCTGATATGCAGGGGCCCAATTAACAGGGAGAGGGAGAGAGGAGGAGACTGACAAGCCCCTTGGGTGGCTCTACTTCCACCCTAAATCTCCTCCTCCTGTATTGCTTCACTCCTGCTAACCCCTCTCCCCTCCAATGCAGCTGAAATCCCCATCGGCTCTTCTGCACCCACCAGGAGTTTACTGAGGAAACTGGAGATCTTGAGTCCCAGCTTAACCACGTTTTCCACGGCCGAGAAGTAGGCACCTGTGGAGCCGTACACCCAATCCACGGCAATCACGTTAGCGTCTGCTGCCCTCAGAAGGGCCCCGATGAGCTTCTCAATCCAGGAAGGCTTTGTTCCTAAAGCCCTAGTCATGGGGCCAAGAAAGGATAGAACAATTATCTGCCAAATTGATATCCATTGTCATGGAACCTCTGTTAATAGAATAAACCCAGAAAAAAAGTCAAGACTAGGGAAGGGGGATACAAGGGCAGTAAGTCACAGCAATTTGAGCATAGGGAGGACAGTCCCAAAGTGACCAGGGCTTCTGCCTGCACGTAGGGAGCCTTTGTGTAAATTATGATAGGATGCCTCTTGTCCGGGTGGCTGCAGCTCCGTGCTAGACTCAGAACTCAGGCTGCATTTCAGCCTCCTACCCCCCAGCCCTTAGCCCCCAGCCCCCAACCCCCAGCCCTGTGTGCAAAGCTTCAACTACACAAGCCATCTGCACTGGCCCTGCTTGTGTGATTTGTGGGAAAGAAAGGATAGATTTGTACATTAGAGTTAAGATTTGCAATCTTAATTCTAGAAAATAGGTACTTTCTTGAGGATGTTTTTATTTATCCATTCACTTATTTATTTCTTCAACAAATGAGCCAGGCAGTGTGCTAGGTGCTTTGCAGAAATTTAAAATAAAATAAAATAAAATACAGCCCCTATCATTCTGGAACTTACAGTGTAATAGCACTTTTCTAGAAAAAGGGAATGGTTTTTAAATTTTCAGAATACTTTCTTCCCAAGCAATTGGGATCAGGAAAGAAGTTTTCTCAATGGCCTGTCACAGCACAGGAACAATCAGAACACATTCTCTGAGTGTGTGCTCATGGGACAGAGGAGCAGACTGACAATTGTCATGGAATGTGACTTTGGGGTATCTAGGAGCACACACAGTGAGGAGCCCGATGAGCTTTCCAGCTCTATTAGCTATCCCTGGGTTGAGGGCACACACTCAGCCTTGGATAGTGGCTAAATGTAGGATTTGCTAGGGGAGAGACTTTGGCACATTCCTGAGAAATGCTAGCCTCTGGGTGGGACAGAAGTAGCATTCATAAGTGGTAGTTTCTTAGGTCATAAAACCAGGGAAGAAGTGAGAAAAGAAAAGAAAATTCTGTATTTAAAAAACAACACCAGGCTGTTACCCCTGAGTAATTGTGCAAAGCCCATGACTTCATTGGCTGAGATGAATCATACAACCACGCTTCAAGGAGGAAAGGTCCCTGAGATCATCTCTACAAACTCCCTTCTTCTCCCTTAGGCTCCATGGGCTGGAGTGATTTGTCCAAGATCACACATATTTATTGTTCGAGAGTGTGTAGACAAGGGCTGAGGGAGGAGTAACATATATAACCAACAGGAATAAACAACATAATATGTGTTCATGTTGACATGAGACACCTTTACAGACAGCAGGAGATGAGGGATGGGACATGTGACAGTCGGCCAATTCATTCCTCCTCTTACTCCCCACTACCTTCCCATGATCACTTTCTAGCGCTTAGCACAGGCAATCCTATTGATTGGTGAGCTCCCACCTGAATCCATGGATTATTAGTTTGGTTCCCAGAGTGACATTGAATCCAGAGTTTTGAAGGTCACTACTTTCTTCAACTAGGTTCCCACAGCGAGGATCTGAAGGTGTGAAGAGGAGGAACCGGACTTTGAGGTTGGTGCCTCGGAAGGGGTTGGCATTCTGGAAGTCAGTGCACTTTGGCTGTTCGGTAGGAGGTGTATCTCCTGGAGGGAAAACAAAACAAAACAAGAGCAATGCAAGGTGAGGTCGTCTGTTCTTGGGAGGACAGAAAGATGTTCTTGAAAGGAAGGAAGAAACGGGCTGACAGCTGCATCAGGGTACAGAAGAAGATAGCGGTCTCCACAGGAGTTAGAGTTCCTCATAATTTTCGCTCATTGGAAGAACTTGAAAAAGGACAAAAAGGAGTAGGTGTGGGGGGGGGAGGGGGGTCAATTGGTGGAAAAGGAGATATATGTAAAACTTTAGACAATAAATAATTTAAAAAAAATAAAAATAGAGTAAAAAAAAAGAGTAGACAATGGGACGGTTAGCTGGGGCCTTAAAGATGATGAAGATATGACACTTACAAGGTGGACAGGCATGATTATTGGGCCACCAAGGATAAATTATGAAAACAGAATATATATATATCCTAAAAGTAGAATGTGGACCTAAATACCCAGAAGCTCCTCCATCAGTTAGATTTGTAATAAAAATTAATATGAATGGAATAAATAATTCCAGTGGAACGGTAGGTGCATGGAGCTTATCTGTATTAGCAAAATGGCAAAATTCATATAGCATTAAAGTTGTACTTCAAGAACTAAGACGTCTAATGATATCCAAAGAAGCTTCTACAGCAATCAGGACAAACATACAACAATTAATTTTAGTGGATCTCAAACTTGTCTTAAATCAACAATCTTCTACTCATGTTAATGTCTTGATTAAATATCAGAATGCCAACTGGTAAACATGACCTGGACATTTGTAAGAATATACTTAATATATGTATAAACATTATGTTTTCAGGTAACAGGAGAAAAAAATGCAGCACAATTTTTTAAGGCACTGTCATTTATACATAAAGCTGGAGTGTTCAAAATAGAATTCAGGTTTACAAGATGAAAGTGTGGTGATTTTTACTAAAAAGTAGAAATCTCAAGAAGGAAAAAGAGAAATGGCATGCTTTATCCATCTTGCTTAGAGAAAGAGCTTCCAATGGTCTAAAGTAGCAGGTACAATGAATATTGTCTCAAATTGTTTTAATTTTTAAGTGGTGTGGGTGCTGACTACCAATAGTATCAAAAATATGTTCAGGATTGTTTGGATATCTGTATTTATAATAAAAATAAATGTCATGGGGAAGGTCAATGAATTTCTGTTGAAAGCTGTTCCTGTGTGTTACACGTAACAGACATGGTAAATATTTGTTTTCCCATGTCTTTGTTGGACAAACCATGCATTAAAGTAAGTGAAATCAGCAAAAAGGAAACGGGTGAATTGATATGTGATTTTTGAGATTAAAGTTAGTCTTAAAATGTAAATAAAATGTAGATCGTGTTCTCAGACACTGCCATTTCTATTTTATTGAAGTGGTACATGGAAAGTACCTTGCTGAGGTAGCAAAGACTGGAATTGTAGCTTTTCATCCATATAAACTTTTTATTGTTAATCATTTGTTATATATTTCTTGTGAATTGGAATTTGCAGAGTATTTTAGAGAACAAATTACTTGATTCGTTTAATTTCATCTTTGGAGAAGGAGGAATCCCAAGTATTATATTTCGACTTTGATTTCACAAGCAATGTATTAAAGATATTTGAATTCTAGCAATTTTTATAGAATTATAGATTGTAATTATCCAAATATACATTCTATTTTGATTCATAACATCCTTTTTTTGGTGACATTTTTTCTCACAATGCTTTTAATACTGACTGGGATTAATTTATACATTCCACTTGTCTTTCACTTCAGCATCTGTGTAATTTTGAACTGATGTTCTGCTTTTACCAAAGTGAGAGGTTTTAAGTAATTGTTTTTCATTTCAAAGCACTAGGTATACTACTTTGTTGAAAATACTCTTTTCTCATGGGTTCACTGCATAAAATAGAAAAGTCGGGTAACAAGGACAAATTTCTTAAACATGCCTTAACATGTTTTTGTCAAGTTCATTCATATCGAAAGCTTTGAGCTACCTTTTCTTAGTCACTAATATATCAAAGTCAGCGGTTTGTCTAGTTTGCCTAAACTTTTAATTTCAACATGAGTATTCTATTTTAATTATCGAAGATATTTAAAATGACACATAGAGAATATATATATGTATATAAATATATATATGTACATATATATATATATAAATTAGTGCATGTGTAATTTATTAAAATAGGTTTGAAATGAATTATTACCTTGGGATACATTCTGAAAACTTTTAAATTGGTAAGAGAGATTAAGTTGAATTACACTGATGTCATACAAAGGAGTCTGATGGTTACTAATCGTCTAAATCAATCTCTTTAAGAACTTCTGTTCCACTTTGAAAATGTGTCTTATCATTCATGGGTTCTGAATGCTGTTAAATTATTCAAATATTGGGTACCTTGATTTTTTGTCCTCTTTCCTTTTCCCATATCCACTAATTGTGAAGATTTTGTTGTTGGTGTTGTTTTTCAACAAAATGTAATGTTTATTTCCCCTTTTTGTTTTGGGACTATGGATAAATCTGCATGCAAAAGCAAGATTCATTTTGCATGTCACAATCAAAATGTACACGGCAATCTAAGACACACTGGTTGATTATAGAAGTTAATACAGAACCAATCTTAATTGTAGTAACATTTCTAAGACAACAGTTTTGAAGCTATTTTTCTTTTGTCTATTTTGTAAAGGGGCTAATGTTGTAGGAGTGTGTGGCATTAAATGAACTGTAAAATTGCCTTTGAGATTTGTTTAAAAAGCTAGCAGATGAGCCCTAGGAAATGATCTTATATTAATAAAGATTACCAAAAAAAAAAAGAAAGAAAGAAACAGGGGCTTATAGGCATTGTCAATCAGCTAGATTCATATGTATAATATACATATTAGATTACATATATTATATATTTATATCTATATATATAAAAGCCCAGCAACCATTACAGTGGAACAACAGAACAACCAGTCGCTATGACACACACTGACCACCAGGGGGCAGACGCTCAATGCAGGAGCTGCCCCCTGGTAGTCAGTGTGCTCCCACAGCGGGAGCGCCACTCAGCCAGAAGCCAGGCTCACGGCTGGAGAGTGTAGCAGTGGTGGCAGGAGCCTCTCCCACCTCCGTGGCAGAACTAAGGAGCAGTGAACCAAGCAGTAAGGAGCGAGCAGGCGGACGGTAAGAAGTGAGCAGGCAGGCAGTTAGGAGTGAGTAGGCAGGTCGTTAGGAGCAAGCAGGCAGGCGGTTAGGAGTGAGGGGTCCTGGATTGCAAGAGGGATGTCCGGCAATCGGGCCTAAACCAGCAGTCAGACATCCCATGAGGGCTCCCAGACTGCGAGAGGGTGCAGGCTGGGCTGAAGGACCCCCCCGCCTCCCCGTGCATGAATTTCATGCACCAGGCCGCTAGTAAACATATAATCAGATTCATTTATTAAAACCTGCATAATTTCTGAAATCAAAATCTGTGAATATTTTTCACATCTAAAGATAAAATGCCAGAGATGAATATGAATATTACTCAATGATAGAAGGTTAAAGGCCATGGTGAAATGGATACTATTATGGACTAAACTGAGTCTCCCTATAAATTCATACGTTGGAGTCCTAACCTCCAGTACCTCAGAATATGACTGCATTTGGAGATAGGGTCTTTACAGAGGTAATCACATTAAAACAGGCCATCAGAATGGGCCCTACTCCAATATGACTGGCATTCTTGTAAGAAGAGGAAATCTGGACACAGACACAGAAGAAAGATGATGAGCAGACACACGGAGCAAATGGTCATATACAAGCCAAGGAGAGAGACCAGGAAGAGATCCTTCCCTCACAGCCCCCAAGAGGAACCAACCCTCCCACTGCCTTGATCTTGGACTTCCAGCCTCCAGAACCATGCGTCAATAAGCTTTTGTTGTTTAAGCCATCCAGTCTATGGCATGTTGTTATAGCAGCTCTAGCAAAGTAACACAGATTTATAAAACAAACAAACAAACAAAAAAACCCGGGCAACAAGATAAGCAGTTGGGCTGAGATGAGCTCACGCTGGACTGAACCCCAGTCCAGCCCCATCATTATCATCCTTATGAGCAATCTGGAGCCTCCGTGCCCGGCCCATGGCCACCTTGCCAGAGGTCAGAGCAAACCTGTCACAAGCTGTACCCACTCTACAGCACCTCACAATAGATACATTTAAATGGGATCTTTTATGGTCAAGGGCATTGAAGGGCCTTTAAAAATACTGAACTGAAACAGGCAGCATGAAACTCCTACTTTCCCAGGGAGCTGAAAATCTGGCCCCTCTTCAATACCCAACATTGCAACCCTTGTTTACTTCTGTGGCAAAGAGGTGTAGCACCCAGCTCCCAGCCTGGCTTGCAGGGAGGGACCAGCAGCAGCAGCCACAAGCACACACTGACCCAGGCTACATGGCCCCAGTCATGGCACTGTTAGCGGCTACCTCGCATTACTGCCATGGGACAAAGCCATTTACAGAATTAGAGGTCCAGATTGCAGACTTTGGTTTGTGCAGGTTCCTTCCTAAAGAGGACAGCAATTTTAGTTTTCTGGAATGGTTATCTGCCTTCAGAGGTCACCGGGAGCACATTCACAAGAAGCATGTGGATCTGGGTGCAATTAGATGTGGCCCCATGTGCAGATAGATGGTGGGGACCCCATCCTTAAAGAGTACTGAGGTGCACTGGCGTTTTCACCACCTCTGCATCTGAGCTCCAAGTCCTCTTGCATGTCCCTTCCTGGACACCCTGGCAAGAAGCCCCCACACTCCCCAGCCTACAACTTGAGCTCCCGAAGGACACGAAAGAGAAAGATGCCTGGCACTACAACAGCTCTGCTTTTCCCAGCTTCTGGCTTTTTTAATAAATATATATTTTTATTGATTTCAGAGGGGAAGAGAGAGGGAAAGAGAGAGAGAAACATCAATGATGAGAGAGAATCATTGATCAGCTGCCACTGGGGATCGAGCCTGTAACCTGGGCATGTGCCCTTGACCAGGAATCGAACCTGCG